GAACCAACTCCCAAGTCTCTAGGACGTTCCTAAAAAAATTTGATTTTTCCCATAGGAATGCATGGGTTAGGGTTAGGGTCAGGGTTAGGGTTGGAGCTAGGGTTAGGGTTAGGGTTAGGGTTGGAGTTAGGGTTAGTGTTGGAGCTAGGGTTAGGGTTGGGCTTGGAGCTAGGATTTTTCTGAGTGCAATGAACCAACTCCCGAGTCTCTAGGACGTTCCTAAAAAAATTTGATTTTTTCCCATAGGAATGCATGGGTTAGGGTTAGGGTTAGGGTTAGGGTTGGAGCTAGGGTTAGGGTTAGGGTTAGGGTTGGAGTTAGGGTTAGTGTTGGAGCTAGGGTTAGGGTTGGGCTTGGAGCTAGGATTTTTCTGAGTGCAATGAACCAACTCCCGAGTCTCTAGGACGTTCCTAAAAAATTTTTATTTTTTCCCATAGGAATGCATGGGTTAGGGTTAGGGTTAGGATTGGAGCTAGGGTTAGGGTAAGGGTTAGGGTTAGTGTTGGAGCTAGGGTTAGGGTTGGGCTTGGAGCTAGGATTTTTCTGAGTGCAATGAACCAACTCCCGAGTCTCTAGGACGTTCCCAAAAAAATTTGATTTTTTCCCATAGGAATGCATGGGTTAGGGTTAGGGTTAGGGATGGAGCTAGGGTTAGGGTTAGGGTTAGGGTTGGAGTTAGGGTTAGTGTTGGAGCTAGGGTTAGGGTTGGGCTTGGAGCTAGGATTGTTCTGAGTCCACTGAACCAACTCCCGAGTCTCTAGGACGTTCCTAAAAAAATTTGATTTTTCCCATAGGAATGCATGGGTTATGGTTAGGGTTAGGGTTAGGGTTGGAGCTAGGGTTAGGGTTAGGGTTAGGGTTGGAGTTAGGGTTAGTGTTGGAGCTAGGGTTAGGGTTGGGCTTGGAGCTAGGATTTTTCTGAGTGCACTGAACCAACTCCCAAGTCTCTAGGACGTTCCTAAAAAAATTTGATTTTTTCCCATAGGAATGCAAGGGTTAGGGTTAGGGTCAGGGTTAGGGTTGGAGCTAGGGTTAGGGTTAGGGTTAGGGTTGGAGTTAGGGTTAGTGTTGGAGCTAGGGTTAGGGTTGGGCTTGGAGCTAGGATTTTTCTGAGTGCAATGAACCAACTCCCGAGTCTCTAGGACGTTCCTAAAAAAATTTGATTTTTTCCCATAGGAATGCATGGGTTAGGGTTAGGGTTAGGGTTAGGGTTGGAGCTAGGGTTAGGGTTAGGGTTAGGGTTGGAGTTAGGGTTAGTGTTGGAGCTAGGGTTAGGGTTGGGCTTGGAGCTAGGATTTTTCGGAGTGCAATGAACCAACTCCCGAGTCTCTAGGACGTTCCCAAAAAAATTTGATTTTTTCCCATAGGAATGCATGGGTTAGGGTTAGGGTTAGGGATGGAGCTAGGGTTAGGGTTAGGGTTAGGGTTGGAGTTAGGGTTAGTGTTGGAGCTAGGGTTAGGGTTGGGCTTGGAGCTAGGATTGTTCTGAGTCCACTGAACCAACTCCCGAGTCTCTAGGACGTTCCTAAAAAAATTTGATTTTTCCCATAGGAATGCATGGGTTAGGGTTAGGGTTAGGGTTAGGGTTGGAGCTAGGGTTAGGGTTAGGGTTAGGGTTGGAGTTAGGGTTAGTGTTGGAGCTAGGGTTAGGGTTGGGCTTGGAGCTAGGATTTTTCTGAGTGCACTGAACCAACTCCCAAGTCTCTAGGACGTTCCTAAAAAAATTTGATTTTTTCCCATAGGAATGCATGGGTTAGGGTTAGGGTCAGGGTTAGGGTTGGAGCTAGGGTTAGGGTTAGGGTTAGGGTTGGAGTTAGGGTTAGTGTTGGAGCTAGGGTTAGGGTTGGGCTTGGAGCTAGGATTTTTCTGAGTGCAATGAACCAACTCCCGAGTCTCTAGGACGTTCCTAAAAAAATTTGATTTTTTCCCATAGGAATGCATGGGTTAGGGTTAGGGTTAGGGTTAGGGTTGGAGCTAGGGTTAGGGTTAGGGTTAGGGTTGGAGTTAGGGTTAGTGTTGGAGCTAGGGTTAGGGTTGGGCTTGGAGCTAGGATTTTTCTGAGTGCAATGAACCAACTCCCGAGTCTCTAGGACGTTCCTAAAAAATTTTTATTTTTTCCCATAGGAATGCATGGGTTAGGGTTAGGGTTAGGGTTGGAGCTAGGGTTAGGGTTAGGGTTGGGTTAGGGTTAGTGTTGGAGCTAGGGTTAGGGTTGGGCTTGGAGCTAGGATTTTTCTGAGTGCAATGAACCAACTCCCGAGTCTCTAGGACGTTCCCAAAAAAATTTGATTTTTTCCCATAGGAATGCATGGGTTAGGGTTAGGGTTAGGGTTGGAGCTAGGGTTAGGGTTAGGGTTAGGGTTGGAGTTAGGGTTAGTGTTGGAGCTAGGGTTAGGGTTGGGCTTGGAGCTAGGATTTTTCTGAGTGCAATGAACCAACTCCCGAGTCTCTAGGACGTTCCTAAAAAAATTTGATTTTTTCCCATAGGAATGCATGGGTTAGGGTTAGGGTTAGGGTTTGAGCTAGGGTTAGGGTTAGGGTTAGGGTTGGAGTTAGGGTTAGTGTTGGAGCTAGGGTTAGGGTTGGGCTTGGAGCTAGGATTTTTCTGAGTGCACTGAACCAACTCCCGAGTCTCTAGGACGTTCCTAAAAAAATTTGATTTTTTCCCATAGGAATGCATGGGTTAGGGTTAGGGTTAGGGTTGGAGCTAGGGTTAGGGTTAGGGTTAGGGTTGGAGTTAGGGTTAGTGTTGGAGCTAGGGTTAGGGTTGGGCTTGGAGCTAGGATTTTTCTGAGTCCACTGAACCAACTCCCGAGTCTCTAGGACGTTCCTAAAAAAATTTGATTTTTTCCCATAGGAATGCATGGGTTAGGGTTAGGGTTAGGGTTAGGGTTGGAGCTAGGGTTAGGGTTAGGGTTAGGGTTGGAGTTAGGGTTAGTGTTGGAGCTAGGGTTAGGGTTGGGCTTGGAGCTAGGATTTTTCTGAGTGCACTGAACCAACTCCCAAGTCTCTAGGACGTTCCTAAAAAAATTTGATTTTTTCCCATAGGAATGCATGGGTTAGGGTTAGGGTTAGGGTTAGGGTTGGAGCTAGGGTTAGGGTTGGAGTTAGGGTTAGTGTTGGAGCTAGGGTTAGGGTTGGGCTTGGAGCTAGGATTTTTCTGAGTGCAATGAACCAACTCCCGAGTCTCTAGGACGTTCCTAAAAAAATTTGATTTTTTCCCATAGGAATGCATGGGTTAGGGTTAGGGTTAGGGTTGGAGCTAGGGTTAGGGTTAGGGTTAGGGTTGGAGTTAGGGTTAGTGTTGGAGCTAGGGTTAGGGTTGGGCTTGGAGCTAGGATTTTTCTGAGTGCAATGAACCAACTCCCGAGTCTCTAGGACGTTCCTAAAAAAATTTGATTTTTTCCCATAGGAATGCATGGGTTAGGGTTAGGGTTAGGGTTGGAGCTAGGGTTAGGGTTAGGGTTAGGGTTGGAGTTAGGGTTAGTGTTGGAGCTAGGGTTAGGGTTGGGCTTGGAGCTAGGATTTTTCTGAGTGCACTGAACCAACTCCCGAGTCTCTAGGACGTTCCTAAAAAAATTTGATTTTTTCCCATAGTAATGCATGGGTTAGGGTTAGGGTTAGGGTTGGAGCTAGGGTTAGGGTTAGGGTTAGGGTTGGAGTTAGGGTTAGTGTTGGAGCTAGGGTTAGGGTTGGGCTTGGAGCTAGGATTTTTCTGAGTGCAATGAACCAACTCCCGAGTCTCTAGGACGTTCCTAAAAAATTTTTATTTTTTCCCATAGGAATGCATGGGTTAGGGTTAGGGTTAGGGTTGGAGCTAGGGTTAGGGTTAGGGTTAGGGTTGGAGTTAGGGTTAGTGTTGGAGCTAGGGTTAGGGTTGGGCTTGGAGCTAGGATTTTTCTGAGTGCAATGAACCAACTCCCGAGTCTCTAGGACGTTCCTAAAAAAATTTGATTTTTTCCCATAGGAATGCATGGGTTAGGGTTAGGGTTAGGGTTGGAGCTAGGGTTAGGGTTAGGGTTAGGGTTGGAGTTAGGGTTAGTGTTGGAGCTAGGGTTAGGGTTGGGCTTGGAGCTAGGATTTTTCTGAGTGCAATGAACCAACTCCCGAGTCTCTAGGACGTTCCTAAAAAAATTTGATTTTTTCCCATAGGAATGCATGGGTTAGGGTTAGGGTTAGGGTTGGAGCTAGGGTTAGGGTTAGGGTTAGGGTTGGAGTTAGGGTTAGTGTTGGAGCTAGGGTTAGGGTTGGGCTTGGAGCTAGGATTTTTCTGAGTGCAATGAACCAACTCCCGAGTCTCTAGGACGTTCCTAAAAAAATTTGATTTTTTCCCATAGGAATGCATGGGTTAGGGTTAGGGTTAGGGTTGGAGCTAGGGTTAGGGTTAGGGTTAGGGTTGGAGTTAGGGTTAGTGTTGGAGCTAGGGTTAGGGTTGGGCTTGGAGCTAGGATTTTTCTGAGTGCAATGAACCAACTCCCGAGTCTCTAGGACGTTCCTAAAAAAATTTGATTTTTTCCCATAGGAATGCATGGGTTAGGGTTAGGGTTAGGGTTGGAGCTAGGGTTAGGGTTAGGGTTAGGGTTGGAGTTAGGGTTAGTGTTGGAGCTAGGGTTAGGGTTGGGCTTGGAGCTAGGATTTTTCTGAGTGCAATGAACCAACTCCCGAGTCTCTAGGACGTTCCTAAAAAAATTTGATTTTTTCCCATAGGAATGCATGGGTTAGGGTTAGGGTTAGGGTTGGAGTTTAGGGTTAGGGTTAGGGTTGGAGTTAGGGTTAGTGTTGGAGCTAGGGTTAGGGTTGGGCTTGGAGCTAGGATTTTTCTGAGTGCAATGAACCAACTCCCGAGTCTCTAGGACGTTCCTAAAAAAATTTGATTTTTTCCCATAGGAATGCATGGGTTAGGGTTAGGGTTAGGGTTGGAGCTAGGGTTAGGGTTAGGGTTAGGGTTGGAGTTAGGGTTAGTGTTGGAGCTAGGGTTAGGGTTGGGCTTGGAGCTAGGATTTTTCTGAGTGCACTGAACCAACTCCCGAGTCTCTAGGACGTTCCTAAAAAAATTTGATTTTTTCCCATAGGAATGCATGGGTTAGGGTTAGGGTCAGGGTAGGGTTGGAGCTAGGGTTAGGGTTAGGGTTAGGGTTGGAGTTAGGGTTAGTGTTGGAGCTAGGGTTAGGGTTGGGCTTGGAGCTAGGATTTTTCTGAGTGCAATGAACCAACTCCCGAGTCTCTAGGACGTTCCTAAAAAAATTTGATTTTTTCCCATAGGAATGCATGGGTTAGGGTTAGGGTTAGGGTTGGAGCTAGGGTTAGGGTTAGGGTTAGGGTTGGAGTTAGGGTTAGTGTTGGAGCTAGGGTTAGGGTTGGGCTTGGAGCTAGGATTTTTCTGAGTGCAATGAACCAACTCCCGAGTCTCTAGGACATTCCTAAAAAATTTGATTTTTTCCCATAGGAATGCATGGGTTAGGGTTAGGGTTAGGGTTGGAGCTAGGGTTAGGGTTAGGGTTAGGGTTGGAATTAGGGTTAGTGTTGGAGCTAGGGTTAGGGTTGGGCTTGGAGCTAGGATTTTTCGGAGTGCAATGAACCAACTCCCGAGTCTCTAGGACGTTCCTAAAAAAATTTGATTTTTTCCCATAGTAATGCATGGGTTAGGGTTAGGGTTAGGGTTGGAGCTAGGGTTAGGGTTAGGGTTAGGGTTGGAGTTAGGGTTAGTGTTGGAGCTAGGGTTAGGGTTGGGCTTGGAGCTAGGATTTTTCTGAGTGCAATGAACCAACTCCCGAGTCTCTAGGACGTTCCTAAAAAAATTTGATTTTTCCCATAGGAATGCATGGGTTAGGGTTAGGGTTAGGGTTGGAGCTAGGGTTAGGGTTAGGGTTAGGGTTGGAGTTAGGGTTAGTGTTGGAGCTAGGGTTAGGGTTGGGCTTGGAGCTAGGATTTTTCTGAGTGCAATGAACCAACTCCCGAGTCTCTAGGACGTTCCTAAAAAAATTTGATTTTTTCCCATAGGAATGCATGGGTTAGGGTTAGGGTTAGGGTTGGAGCTAGGGTTAGGGTTAGGGTTAGGGTTGGAGTTAGGGTTAGTGTTGGAGCTAGGGTTAGGGTTGGGCTTGGAGCTAGGATTTTTCTGAGTGCAATGAACCAACTCCCGAGTCTCTAGGACGTTCCTAAAAAAATTTGATTTTTTCCCATAGGAATGCATGGGTTAGGGTTAGGGTTGGAGGGGTTAGGGTTAGTTAGGGTTAGTGTTGGAGCTAGGGTTAGGGTTGGGCTTGGAGCTAGGATTTTTCTGAGTGCAATGAACCAACTCCCGAGTCTCTAGGACGTTCCTAAAAAAATTTGATTTTTTCCCATAGGAATGCATGGGTTAGGGTTAGGGTTAGGGTTAGGGTTGGAGCTAGGGTTAGGGTTAGGGTTAGGGTTGGAGTTAGGGTTAGTGTTGGAGCTAGGGTTAGGGTTGGGCTTGGAGCTAGGATTTTTCTGAGTGCAATGAACCAACTCCCGAGTCTCTAGGACGTTCCTAAAAAAATTTGATTTTTTCCCATAGGAATGCATGGGTTAGGGTTAGGGTTAGGGTTGGAGCTAGGGTTAGGGTTAGGGTTAGGGTTGGAGTTAGGGTTAGTGTTGGAGCTAGGGTTAGGGTTGGGCTTGGAGCTAGGATTTTTCTGAGTGCAATGAACCAACTCCCGAGTCTCTAGGACGTTCCTAAAAAAATTAGATTTTTTCCCATAGGAATGCATGGGTTAGGGTTTAGGGTTAGGGTTGGAGCTAGGGTTAGGGTTAGGGTTAGGGTTGGAGTTAGGGTTAGTGTTGGAGCTAGGGTTAGGGTTGGGCTTGGAGCTAGGATTTTTCTGAGTGCACTGAACCAACTCCCGAGTCTCTAGGACGTTCCTAAAAAAATTTGATTTTTTCCCATAGGAATGCATGGGTTAGGGTTAGGGTTAGGGTTAGGGTTAGGGTTGGAGTTAGGGTTAGTGTTGGAGCTAGGGTTAGGGTTGGGCTTGGAGCTAGGATTTTTCTGAGTGCAATGAACCAACTCCCGAGTCTCTAGGACGTTCCTAAAAAAATTTGATTTTTTCCCATAGGAATGCATGGGTTAGGGTTAGGGTTAGGGTTGGAGCTAGGGTTAGGGTTAGGGTTAGGGTTAGGGTTGGAGTTAGGGTTAGTGTTGGAGCTAGGGTTAGGGTTGGGCTTGGAGCTAGGATTTTTCTGAGTGCAATGAACCAACTCCCGAGTCTCTAGGACGTTCCTAAAAAAATTTGATTTTTTCCCATAGGAATGCATGGGTTAGGGTTAGGGTTAGGGTTGGAGCTAGGGTTAGGGTTAGGGTTAGGGTTGGAGTTAGGGTTAGTGTTGGAGCTAGGGTTAGGGTTGGGCTTGGAGCTAGGATTTTTCTGAGTGCACTGAACCAACTCCCGAGTCTCTAGGACGTTCCTAAAAAAATTTGATTTTTTCCCATAGGAATGCATGGGTTAGGGTTAGGGTTAGGGTTGGAGCTAGGGTTAGGGTTAGGGTTAGGGTTGGAGTTAGGGTTAGTGTTGGAGCTAGGGTTAGGGTTGGGCTTGGAGCTAGGATTTTTCTGAGTGCACTGAACCAACTCCCGAGTCTCTAGGACGTTCCTAAAAAAATTTGATTTTTTCCCATAGGAATGCATGGGTTAGGGTTAGGGTTAGGGTTAGGGTTGGAGCTAGGGTTAGGGTTAGGGTTAGGGTTGGAGTTAGGGTTAGTGTTGGAGCTAGGGTTAGGGTTGGGCTTGGAGCTAGGATTTTTCTGAGTGCAATGAACCAACTCCCGAGTCTCTAGGACGTTCCTAAAAAAATTTGATTTTTTCCCATAGGAATGCATGGGTTAGGGTTAGGGTTAGGGTTAGGGTTGGAGCTAGGGTTAGGGTTAGGGTTAGGGTTGGAGTTAGGGTTAGTGTTGGAGCTAGGGTTAGGGTTGGGGTTAGGGTTGGAGTTAGGGTTAGTGTTGGAGCTAGGGTTAGGGTTGGGCTTGGAGCTAGGATTTTTCTGAGTGCAATGAACCAACTCCCGAGTCTCTAGGACGTTCCTAAAAAAATTTGATTTTTTCCCATAGGAATGCATGGGTTAGGGTTAGGGTTAGGGTTAGGGTTGGAGCTAGGGTTAGGGTTAGGGTTAGGGTTGGAGTTAGGGTTAGTGTTGGAGCTAGGGTTAGGGTTGGGCTTGGAGCTAGGATTTTTCTGAGTGCAATGAACCAACTCCCGAGTCTCTAGGACGTTCCTAAAAAAATTTGATTTTTTCCCATAGGAATGCATGGGTTAGGGTTAGGGTTAGGGTTGGAGCTAGGGTTAGGGTTAGGGTTAGGGTTGGAGTTAGGGTTAGTGTTGGAGCTAGGGTTAGGGTTGGGCTTGGAGCTAGGATTTTTCTGAGTGCAATGAACCAACTCCCGAGTCTCTAGGACGTTCCTAAAAAAATTTGATTTTTTCCCATAGGAATGCATGGGTTAGGGTTAGGGTTGGAGTTAGGGTTAGTGTTGGAGCTAGGGTTAGGGTTGGGCTTGGAGCTAGGATTTTTCTGAGTGCAATGAACCAACTCCCGAGTCTCTAGGACGTTCCCAAAAAAAAATTTGATTTTTTCCCATAGGAATGCATGGGTTAGGGTTAGGGTTAGGGTTAGGGTTGGAGCTAGGGTTAGGGTTAGGGTTAGGGTTGGAGTTAGGGTTAGTGTTGGAGCTAGGGTTAGGGTTGGGCTTGGAGCTAGGATTTTTCTGAGTGCAATGAACCAACTCCCGAGTCTCTAGGACGTTCCTAAAAAAATTTGATTTTTTCCCATAGGAATGCATGGGTTAGGGTTAGGGTTAGGGTTAGGGTTGGAGCTAGGGTTAGGGTTAGGGTTAGGGTTGGAGTTAGGGTTAGTGTTGGAGCTAGGGTTAGGGTTGGGCTTGGAGCTAGGATTTTCTGAGTGCACTGAACCAACTCCCGAGTCTCTAGGACGTTCCTAAAAAAATTTGATTTTTTCCCATAGGAATGCATGGGTTAGGGTTAGGGTTAGGGTTAGGGTTGGAGCTAGGGTTAGGGTTAGGGTTAGGGTTGGAGTTAGGGTTAGTGTTGGAGCTAGGGTTAGGGTTGGGGTTAGGGTTGGAGTTAGGGTTAGTGTTGGAGCTAGGGTTAGGGTTGGGCTTGGAGCTAGGATTTTTCTGAGTGCACTGAACCAACTCCCGAGTCTCTAGGACGTTCCTAAAAAAATTTGATTTTTTCCCATAGGAATGCATGGGTTAGGGTTAGGGTTAGGGTTAGGGTTGGAGCTAGGGTTAGGGTTAGGGTTAGGGTTGGAGTTAGGGTTAGTGTTGGAGCTAGGGTTAGGGTTGGGCTTGGAGCTAGGATTTTTCTGAGTGCAATGAACCAACTCCCGAGTCTCTAGGACGTTCCTAAAAAAATTTGATTTTTTCCCATAGTAATGCATGGGTTAGGGTTAGGGTTAGGGTTGGAGCTAGGGTTAGGGTTAGGGTTAGGGTTGGAGTTAGGGTTAGTGTTGGAGCTAGGGTTAGGGTTGGGCTTGGAGCTAGGATTTTTCTGAGTGCAATGAACCAACTCCCGAGTCTCTAGGACGTTCCTAAAAAAATTTGATTTTTTCCCATAGTAATGCATGGGTTAGGGTTAGGGTTAGGGTTGGAGCTAGGGTTAGGGTTAGGGTTAGGGTTGGAGTTAGGGTTAGTGTTGGAGCTAGGGTTAGGGTTGGGCTTGGAGCTAGGATTTTTCTGAGTGCACTGAACCAACTCCCGAGTCTCTAGGACGTTCCTAAAAAAATTTGATTTTTTCCCATAGGAATGCATGGGTTAGGGTTAGGGTTAGGGTTGGAGCTAGGGTTAGGGTTAGGGTTAGGGTTGGAGTTAGGGTTAGTGTTGGAGCTAGGGTTAGGGTTGGGCTTGGAGCTAGGATTTTTCTGAGTGCACTAAACCAACTCCCGAGTCTCTAGGACGTTCCTAAAAAAATTTGATTTTTTCCCATAGGATTGCATGGGTTAGGGTTAGGGTTAGGGTTAGGGTTGGAGCTAGGGTTAGGGTTAGGGTTAGGGTTGGAGTTAGGGTTAGTGTTGGAGCTAGGGTTAGGGTTGGGCTTGGAGCTAGGATTTTTCTGAGTGCAATGAACCAACTCCCGAGTCTCTAGGACGTTCCTAAAAAAATTTGATTTTTTCCCATAGGAATGCATGGGTTAGGGTTAGGGTTAGGGTTGGAGCTAGGGTTAGGGTTAGGGTTGGAATTAGGGTTAGTGTTGGAGCTAGGGTTAGGGTTGGGCTTGGAGCTAGGATTTTTCTGAGTGCAATGAACCAACTCCCGAGTCTCTAGGACGTTCCTAAAAAAATTTGATTTTTTCCCATAGTAATGCATGGGTTAGGGTTAGGGTTAGGGTTGGAGCTAGGGTTAGGGTTAGGGTTAGGGTTGGAGTTAGGGTTAGTGTTGGAGCTAGGGTTAGGGTTGGGCTTGGAGCTAGGATTTTTCTGAGTGCAATGAACCAACTCCCGAGTCTCTAGGACGTTCCTAAAAAATTTGATTTTTTCCCATAGGAATGCATGGGTTAGGGTTAGGGTTAGGGTTGGAGCTAGGGTTAGGGTTAGGGTTAGGGTTGGAGTTAGGGTTAGTGTTGGAGCTAGGGTTAGGGTTGGGCTTGGAGCTAGGATTTTTCTGAGTGCACTGAACCAACTCCCGAGTCTCTAGGACGTTCCTAAAAAAATTTGATTTTTTCCCATAGGAATGCATGGGTTAGGGTTAGGGTTAGGGTTGGAGCTAGGGTTAGGGTTAGGGTTAGGGTTGGAGTTAGGGTTAGTGTTGGAGCTAGGGTTAGGGTTGGGCTTGGAGCTAGGATTTTTCTGAGTGCAATGAACCAACTCCCGAGTCTCTAGGACGTTCCTAAAAAAATTTGATTTTTTCCCATAGTAATGCATGGGTTAGGGTTAGGGTTAGGGTTGGAGCTAAGGTTAGGGTTAGGGTTAGGGTTAGAGTTAGGGTTAGTGTTGGAGCTAGGGTTAGGGTTGGGCTTGGAGCTAGGATTTTTCTGAGTGCAATGAACCAACTCCCGAGTCTCTAGGACGTTCCTAAAAAAATTTGATTTTTTCCCATAGGAATGCATGGGTTAGGGTTAGGGTTAGGGTTGGAGCTAGGGTTAGGGTTAGGGTTAGGGTTGGAGTTAGGGTTAGTGTTGGAGCTAGGGTTAGGGTTGGGCTTGGAGCTAGGATTTTTCGGAGTGCAATGAACCAACTCCCGAGTCTCTAGGACGTTCCTAAAAAAAAATTTGATTTTTTCCCATAGGAATGCATGGGTTAGGGTTAGGGTTAGGGTTGGAGCTAGGGTTAGGGTTAGGGTTAGGGTTGGAGTTAGGGTTAGTGTTGGAGCTAGGGTTAGGGTTGGGCTTGGAGCTAGGATTTTTCTGAGTGCACTGAACCAACTCCCGAGTCTCTAGGACGTTCCTAAAAAAAATTTGATTTTTCCCATAGGAATGCATGGGTTAGGGTTAGGGTTAGGGTTAGGGTTGGAGCTAGGGTTAGGGTTAGGGTTAGGGTTGGAGTTAGGGTTAGTGTTGGAGCTAGGGTTAGGGTTGGGCTTGGAGCTAGGATTTTTCTGAGTGCAATGAACCAACTCCCGAGTCTCTAGGACGTTCCTAAAAAAATTTGATTTTTTCCCATAGGAATGCATGGGTTAGGGTTAGGGTTAGGGTTGGAGCTAGGGTTAGGGTTAGGGTTAGGGTTGGAATTAGGGTTAGTGTTGGAGCTAGGGTTAGGGTTGGGCTTGGAGCTAGGATTTTTCTGAGTGCAATGAACCAACTCCCGAGTCTCTAGGACGTTCCTTAAAAAAAATTGATTTTTTCCCATAGTAATGCATGGGTTAGGGTTAGGGTTAGGGTTGGAGCTAGGGTTAGGGTTAGGGTTAGGGTTGGAGTTAGGGTTAGTGTTGGAGCTAGGGTTAGGGTTGGGCTTGGAGCTAGGATTTTTCTGAGTGCAATGAACCAACTCCCGAGTCTCTAGGACGTTCCTAAAAAAATTTGATTTTTTCCCATAGGAATGCATGGGTTAGGGTTAGGGTTAGGGTTGGAGCTAGGGTTAGGGTTAGGGTTAGGGTTGGAGTTAGGGTTAGTGTTGGAGCTAGGGTTAGGGTTGGGCTTGGAGCTAGGATTTTTCTGAGTGCACTGAACCAACTCCCGAGTCTCTAGGACGTTCCTAAAAAAATTTGATTTTTTCCCATAGGAATGCATGGGTTAGGGTTAGGGTTAGGGTTGGAGCTAGGGTTAGGGTTAGGGTTAGGGTTGGAGTTAGGGTTAGTGTTGGAGCTAGGGTTAGGGTTGGGCTTGGAGCTTTAGGATTTTTCTGTTGAACCAACTCCCGAGTCTAGGGTTAGGGTTGGAGCTAGGGTTAGGGTTAGGGTTAGGGTTGGAATTAGGGTTAGTGTTGGAGCTAGGGTTAGGGTTGGGCTTGGAGCTAGGATTTTTCTGAGTGCAATGAACCAACTCCCGAGTCTCTAGGACGTTCCTTAAAAAAAATTTGATTTTTTCCCATAGTAATGCATGGGTTAGGGTTAGGGTTAGGGTTGGAGCTAGGGTTAGGGTTAGGGTTAGGGTTGGAGTTAGGGTTAGTGTTGGAGCTAGGGTTAGGGTTGGGCTTGGAGCTAGGATTTTTCTGAGTGCAATGAACCAACTCCCGAGTCTCTAGGACGTTCCTAAAAAAATTTGATTTTTTCCCATAGGAATGCATGGGTTAGGGTTAGGGTTAGGGTTAGGGTTGGAGCTAGGGTAAGGGTTAGGGTTAGGGTTGGAGTTAGGGTTAGTGTTGGAGCTAGGGTTAGGGTTGGGCTTGGAGCTAGGATTTTTCTGAGTGCAATGAACCAACTCCCGAGTCTCTAGGACGTTCCTAAAAAAATTTGATTTTTTCCCATAGGAATGCATGGGTTAGGGTTAGGGTTAGGGTTGGAGCTAGGGTTAGGGTTAGGGTTAGGGTTGGAGTTAGGGTTAGTGTTGGAGCTAGGGTTAGGGTTGGGCTTGGAGCTAGGATTTTTCTGAGTGCACTGAACCAACTCCCGAGTCTCTAGGACGTTCCTAAAAAATTTGATTTTTTTCCCATAGGAATGCATGGGTTAGGGTTAGGGTTAGGGTTGGAGCTAGGGTTAGGGTTAGGGTTAGGGTTGGAGTTAGGGTTAGTGTTGGAGCTAGGGTTAGGGTTGGGCTTGGAGCTAGGATTTTTCTGAGTGCACTGAACCAACTCCCGAGTCTCTAGGACGTTCCTAAAAAAATTTGATTTTTTCCCATAGGAATATATGGGTTAGGGTTAGGGTTAGGGTTAGGGTTGGAGCTAGGGTTAGGGTTAGGGTTAGGGTTGGAGTTAGGGTTAGTGTTGGAGCTAGGGTTAGGGTTGGGCTTGGAGCTAGGATTTTTTTCTGAGTGCAATGAACCAACTCCCGAGTCTCTAGGACGTTCCTAAAAAAATTTGATTTTTTCCCATAGGAATGCATGGGTTAGGGTTAGGGTTAGGGTTGGAGCTAGGGTTAGGGTTAGGGTTAGGGTTGGAGTTAGGGTTAGTGTTGGAGCTAGGGTTAGGGTTGGGCTTGGAGCTAGGATTTTTCTGAGTGCACTGAACCAACTCCCGAGTCTCTAGGACGTTCCTAAAAAAATTTTATTTTTTCCCATAGGAATGCATGGGTTAGGGTTAGGGTTAGGGTTAGGGTTGGAGCTAGGGTTAGGGTTAGGGTTAGGGTTGGAGTTAGGGTTAGTGTTGGAGCTAGTGTTAGGGTTGGGCTTGGAGCTAGGATTTTTCTGAGTGCAATGAACCAACTCCCGAGTCTCTAGGACGTTCCTAAAAAAATTTGATTTTTTCCCATAGGAATGCATGGGTTAGGGTTAGGGTTAGGGTTGGAGCTAGGGTTAGGGTTAGGGTTAGGGTTGGAGTTAGGGTTAGTGTTGGAGCTAGGGTTAGGGTTGGGCTTGGAGCTAGGATTTTTCTGAGTGCACTGAACCAACTCCCGAGTCTCTAGGACGTTCCTAAAAAAATTTGATTTTTTCCCATAGGAATGCATGGGTTAGGGTTAGGGTTAGGGTTGGAGCTAGGGTTAGGGTTAGGGTTAGGGTTGGAGTTAGGGTTAGTGTTGGAGCTAGGGTTAGGGTTGGGCTTGGAGCTAGGATTTTTCTGAGTGCAATGAACCAACTCCCGAGTCTCTAGGACGTTCCTAAAAAAATTTGATTTTTTCCCATAGGAATGCATGGGTTAGGGTTAGGGTTAGGGTTGGAGCTAGGGTTAGGGTTAGGGTTAGGGTTGGAGTTAGGGTTAGTGTTGGAGCTAGGGTTAGGGTTGGGCTTGGAGCTAGGATTTTTCTGAGTGCAATGAACAGACTCCCGAGTCTCTAGGACGTTCCTAAAAAAATTTGATTTTTTCCCATAGGAATGCATGGGTTAGGGTTAGGGTTAGGGTTGGAGCTAGGGTTAGGGTTAGGGTTGGAGTTAGGGTTAGTGTTGGAGCTAGGGTTAGGGTTGGGCTTGGAGCTAGGATTTTTCTGAGTGCACTGAACCAACTCCCGAGTCTCTAGGACGTTCCTAAAAAAATTTGATTTTTTCCCATAGGAATGCATGGGTTAGGGTTAGGGTTAGGGTTGGAGCTAGGGTTAGGGTTAGGGTTAGGGTTGGAGTTAGGGTTAGTGTTGGAGCTAGGGTTAGGGTTGGGCTTGGAGCTAGGATTTTTCTGAGTGCACTGAACCAACTCCCGAGTCTCTAGGACGTTCCTAAAAAAATTTGATTTTTTCCCATAGGAATGCATGGGTTAGGGTTAGGGTTAGGGTTAGGGTTGGAGCTAGGGTTAGGGTTAGGGTTAGGGTTGGAGTTAGGGTTAGTGTTGGAGCTAGGGTTAGGGTTGGGCTTGGAGCTAGGATTTTTCTGAGTGCAATGAACCAACTCCCGAGTCTCTAGGATGTTCCTAAAAAAATTTGATTTTTTCCCATAGGAATGCATGGGTTAGGGTTAGGGTTAGGGTTGGAGCTAGGGTTAGGGTTAGGGTTAGGGTTGGAATTAGGGTTAGTGTTGGAGCTAGGGTTAGGGTTGGGCTTGGAGCTAGGATTTTTCTGAGTGCAATGAACCAACTCCCGAGTCTCTAGGACGTTCCTAAAAAAATTTGATTTTTTCCCATATTAATGCATGGGTTAGGGTTAGGGTTAGGGTTGGAGCTAGGGTTAGGGTTAGGGTTAGGGTTGGAGTTAGGGTTAGTGTTGGAGCTAGGGTTAGGGTTGGGCTTGGAGCTAGGATTTTTCTGAGTGCAATGAACCAACTCCCGAGTCTCTAGGACGTTCCTAAAAAAATTTGATTTTTTCCCATAGGAATGCATGGGTTAGGGTTAGGGTTAGGGTTGGAGCTAGGGTTAGGGTTAGGGTTAGGGTTGGAGTTAGGGTTAGTGTTGGAGCTAGGGTTAGGGTTGGGCTTGGAGCTAGGATTTTTCTGAGTGCAATGAACCAACTCCCGAGTCTCTAGGACGTTCCTAAAAAAATTTGATTTTTTCCCATAGGAATGCATGGGTTAGGGTTAGGGTTAGGGTTGGAGCTAGGGTTAGGGTTAGGGTTAGGGTTGGAGTTAGGGTTAGTGTTGGAGCTAGGGTTAGGGTTGGGCTTGGAGCTAGGATTTTTCTGAGTGCACTGAACCAACTCCCGAGTCTCTAGGACGTTCCTAAAAAAATTTGATTTTTTCCCATAGTAATGCATGGGTTAGGGTTAGGGTTAGGGTTGGAGCTAGGGTTAGGGTTAGGGTTAGGGTTGGAGTTAGGGTTAGTGTTGGAGCTAGGGTTAGGGTTGGGCTTGGAGCTAGGATTTTTCTGAGTGCAATGAACCAACTCCCGAGTCTCTAGGACGTTCCTAAAAAAATTTGATTTTTTCCCATAGGAATGCATGGGTTAGGGTTAGGGTTAGGGTTGGAGCTAGGGTTAGGGTTAGGGTTAGGGTTGGAGTTAGGGTTAGTGTTGGAGCTAGGGTTAGGGTTGGGCTTGGAGCTAGGATTTTTCTGAGTGCACTGAACCAACTCCCGAGTCTCTAGGACGTTCCTAAAAAAATTTGATTTTTTCCCATAGGAATGCATGGGTTAGGGTTAGGGTTAGGGTTGGAGCTAGGGTTAGGGTTAGGGTTAGGGTTGGAGTTAGGGTTAGTGTTGGAGCTAGGGTTAGGGTTGGGCTTGGAGCTAGGATTTTTCTGAGTGCAATGAACCAACTCCCGAGTCTCTAGGACGTTCCTAAAAAAATTTGATTTTTTCCCATAGGAATGCATGGGTTAGGGTTAGGGTTAGGGTTGGAGCTAGGGTTAGGGTTAGGGTTAGGGTTGGAGTTAGGGTTAGTGTTGGAGCTAGGGTTAGGGTTGGGCTTGGAGCTAGGATTTTTCTGAGTGCAATGAACCAACTCCCGAGTCTCTAGGACGTTCCTAAAAAAATTTGATTTTTTCCCATAGGAATGCATGGGTTAGGGTTAGGGTTAGGGTTGGAGCTAGGGTTAGGGTTAGGGTTAGGGTTGGAGTTAGGGTTAGTGTTGGAGCTAGGGTTAGGGTTGGGCTTGGAGCTAGGATTTTTCTGAGTGCAATGAACCAACTCCCGAGTCTCTAGGACGTTCCTAAAAAAATTTAATTTTTTCCCATAGGAATGCATGGGTTAGGGTTAGGGTTAGGGTTGGAGCTAGGGTTAGGGTTAGGGTTAGGGTTGGAGTTAGGGTTAGTGTTGGAGCTAGGGTTAGGGTTGGGCTTGGAGCTAGGATTTTTCTGAGTGCAATGAACCAACTCCCGAGTCTCTAGGACGTTCCTAAAAAAATTTGATTTTTTCCCATAGGAATGCATGGGTTAGGGTTAGGGTTAGGGTTGGAGCTAGGGTTAGGGTTAGGGTTAGGGTTGGAATTAGGGTTAGTGTTGGAGCTAGGGTTAGGGTTGGGCTTGGAGCTAGGATTTTTCTGAGTGCAATGAACCAACTCCCGAGTCTCTAGGACGTTCCTAAAAAAATTTGATTTTTTCCCATAGGAATGCATGGGTTAGGGTTAGGGTTAGGGTTGGAGCTAGGGTTAGGGTTAGGGTTAGGGTTGGAGTTAGGGTTAGTGTTGGAGCTAGGGTTAGGGTTGGGCTTGGAGCTAGGATTTTTCTGAGTGCACTGAACCAACTCCCGAGTCTCTAGGACGTTCCTAAAAAAATTTGATTTTTTCCCAGAGGAATGCATGGGTTAGGGTTAGGGTTAGGGTTAGGGTTGGAGCTAGGGTTAGGGTTAGGGTTAGGGTTGGAGTTAGGGTTAGTGTTGGAGCTAGGGTTAGGGTTGGGCTTGGAGCTAGGATTTTTCTGAGTGCAATGAACCAACTCCCGAGTCTCTAGGACGTTCCTAAAAAAATTAGATTTTTTTCCCATAGGAATGCATGGGTTAGGGTTAGGGTTAGGGTTGGAGCTAGGGTTAGGGTTAGGGTTAGGGTTGGAGTTAGGGTTAGTGTTGGAGCTAGGGTTAGGGTTGGGCTTGGAGCTAGGATTTTTCTGAGTGCACTGAACCAACTCCCGAGTCTCTAGGACGTTCCTAAAAAAATTTGATTTTTTCCCATAGGAATGCATGGGTTAGGGTTAGGGTTAGGGTTGGAGCTAGGGTTAGGGTTAGGGTTGGAGTTAGGGTTAGTGTTGGAGCTAGGGTTAGGGTTGGGCTTGGAGCTAGGATTTTTCTGAGTGCACTGAACCAACTCCCGAGTCTCTAGGACGTTCCTAAAAAAATTTGATTTTTTCCCATAGGAATATATGGGTTAGGGTTAGGGTTAGGGTTAGGGTTGGAGCTAGGGTTAGGGTTAGGGTTAGGGTTGGAGTTAGGGTTAGTGTTGGAGCTAGGGTTAGGGTTGGGCTTGGAGCTAGGATTTTTCTTTCTGAGTGCAATGAACCAACTCCCGAGTCTCTAGGACGTTCCTAAAAAAATTTGATTTTTTCCCATAGGAATGCATGGGTTAGGGTTAGGGTTAGGGTTGGAGCTAGGGTTAGGGTTAGGGTTAGGGTTGGAGTTAGGGTTAGTGTTGGAGCTAGGGTTAGGGTTGGGCTTGGAGCTAGGATTTTTCTGAGTGCACTGAACCAACTCCCGAGTCTCTAGGACGTTCCTAAAAAATTTTTATTTTTTCCCATAGGAATGCATGGGTTAGGGTTAGGGTTAGGGTTAGGGTTGGAGCTAGGGTTAGGGTTAGGGTTAGGGTTGGAGTTAGGGTTAGTGTTGGAGCTAGTGTTAGGGTTGGGCTTGGAGCTAGGATTTTTCTGAGTGCAATGAACCAACTCCCGAGTCTCTAGGACGTTCCTAAAAAAATTTGATTTTTTCCCATAGGAATGCATGGGTTAGGGTTAGGGTTAGGGTTGGAGCTAGGGTTAGGGTTAGGGTTAGGGTTGGAGTTAGGGTTAGTGTTGGAGCTAGGGTTAGGGTTGGGCTTGGAGCTAGGATTTTTCTGAGTGCACTGAACCAACTCCCGAGTCTCTAGGACGTTCCTAAAAAAATTTGATTTTTTCCCATAGGAATGCATGGGTTAGGGTTAGGGTTAGGGTTGGAGCTAGGGTTAGGGTTAGGGTTAGGGTTGGAGTTAGGGTTAGTGTTGGAGCTAGGGTTAGGGTTGGGCTTGGAGCTAGGATTTTTCTGAGTGCAATGAACCAACTCCCGAGTCTCTAGGACGTTCCTAAAAAAATTTGATTTTTTCCCATAGTAATGCATGGGTTAGGGTTAGGGTTAGGGTTGGAGCTAGGGTTAGGGTTAGGGTTAGGGTTAGAGTTAGGGTTAGTGTTGGAGCTAGGGTTAGGGTTGGGCTTGGAGCTAGGATTTTTCTGAGTGCAATGAACAGACTCCCGAGTCTCTAGGACGTTCCTAAAAAAATTTGATTTTTTCCCATAGGAATGCATGGGTTAGGGTTAGGGTTAGGGTTGGAGCTAGGGTTAGGGTTAGGGTTGGAGTTAGGGTTAGTGTTGGAGCTAGGGTTAGGGTTGGGCTTGGAGCTAGGATTTTTCTGAGTGCACTGAACCAACTCCCGAGTCTCTAGGACGTTCCTAAAAAAATTTGATTTTTTCCCATAGGAATGCATGGGTTAGGGTTAGGGTTAGGGTTGGAGCTAGGGTTAGGGTTAGGGTTAGGGTTGGAGTTAGGGTTAGTGTTGGAGCTAGGGTTAGGGTTGGGCTTGGAGCTAGGATTTTTCTGAGTGCAATGAACCAACTCCCGAGTCTCTAGGACGTTCCTAAAAAAATTTGATTTTTTCCCATAGGAATGCATGGGTTAGGGTTAGGGTTAGGGTTAGGGTTGGAGCTAGGGTTAGGGTTAGGGTTAGGGTTGGAGTTAGGGTTAGTGTTGGAGCTAGGGTTAGGGTTGGGCTTGGAGCTAAGATTTTTCTGAGTGCAATGAACCAACTCCCGAGTCTCTAGGATGTTCCTAAAAAAATTTGATTTTTTCCCATAGGAATGCATGGGTTAGGGTTAGGGTTAGGGTTGGAGCTAGGGTTAGGGTTAGGGTTAGGGTTGGAATTAGGGTTAGTGTTGGAGCTAGGGTTAGGGTTGGGCTTGGAGCTAGGATTTTTCTGAGTGCAATGAACCAACTCCCGAGTCTCTAGGACGTTCCTTAAAAAAATTTGATTTTTTCCCATATTAATGCATGGGTTAGGGTTAGGGTTAGGGTTGGAGCTAGGGTTAGGGTTAGGGTTAGGGTTGGAGTTAGGGTTAGTGTTGGAGCTAGGGTTAGGGTTGGGCTTGGAGCTAGGATTTTTCTGAGTGCAATGAACCAACTCCCGAGTCTCTAGGACGTTCCTAAAAAAATTTGATTTTTTCCCATAGGAATGCATGGGTTAGGGTTAGGGTTAGGGTTGGAGCTAGGGTTAGGGTTAGGGTTAGGGTTGGAGTTAGGGTTAGTGTTGGAGCTAGGGTTAGGGTTGGGCTTGGAGCTAGGATTTTTCTGAGTGCAATGAACCAACTCCCGAGTCTCTAGGACGTTCCTAAAAAAATTTGATTTTTTCCCATAGGAATGCATGGGTTAGGGTTAGGGTTAGGGTTGGAGCTAGGGTTAGGGTTAGGGTTAGGGTTGGAGTTAGGGTTAGTGTTGGAGCTAGGGTTAGGCTTGGAGCTAGGATTTTTCTGAGTGCACTGAACCAACTCCCGAGTCTCTAGGACGTTCCTAAAAAAATTTGATTTTTTCCCATAGTAATGCATGGGTTAGGGTTAGGGTTAGGGTTGGAGCTAGGGTTAGGGTTAGGGTTAGGGTTGGAGTTAGGGTTAGTGTTGGAGCTAGGGTTAGGGTTGGGCTTGGAGCTAGGATTTTTCTGAGTGCAATGAACCAACTCCCGAGTCTCTAGGACGTTCCTAAAAAAATTGATTTTTTCCCATAGGAATGCATGGGTTAGGGTTAGGGTTAGGGTTGGAGCTAGGGCTAGGGTTAGGGTTAGGGTTGGAGTTAGGGTTAGTGTTGGAGCTAGGGTTAGGGTTGGGCTTGGAGCTAGGATTTTTCTGAGTGCACTGAACCAACTCCCGAGTCTCTAGGACGTTCCTAAAAAAATTTGATTTTTTCCCATAGGAATGCATGGGTTAGGGTTAGGGTTAGGGTTAGGGTTGGAGCCAGGGTTAGGGTTGGAGTTAGGGTTAGTGTTGGAGCTAGGGTTAGGGTTGGGCTTGGAGCTAGGATTTTTCTGAGTGCAATGAACCAACTCCCGAGTCTCTAGGACGTTCCTAAAAAAATTTGATTTTTTCCCATAGGAATGCATGGGTTAGGGTTAGGGTTAGGGTCGGAGCTAGGGTTAGGGTTAGGGTTAGGGTTGGAGTTAGGGTTAGTGTTGGAGCTAGGGTTAGGGTTGGGCTTGGAGCTAGGATTTTTCTGAGTGCAATGAACCAACTCCCGAGTCTCTAGGACGTTCCTAAAAAAATTTGATTTTTTCCCATAGTAATGCATGGGTTAGGGTTAGGGTTAGGGTTGGAGCTAGGGTTAGGGTTAGGGTTAGGGTTGGAGTTAGGGTTAGTGTTGGAGCTAGGGTTAGGGTTGGGCTTGGAGCTAGGATTTTTCTGAGTGTAATGAACCAACTCCCGAGTCTCTAGGACGTTCCTAAAAAAAGTTTAATTTTTTCCCATAGGAATGCATGGGTTAGGGTTAGGGTTAGTGTCGGAGCTAGGGTTAGGGTTAGGGTTAGGGTTGGAGTTAGGGTTAGTGTTGGAGCTAGGGTTAGGGTTGGGCTTGGAGCTAGGATTTTTCTGAGTGCAATGAACAAACTCCCGAGTCTCTAGGACGTTCCTAAAAAAATTTGATTTTTTCCCATAGGAATGCATGGGTTAGGGTTAGGGTTAGGGTTGGAGCTAGGGTTAGGGTTAGGGTTAGGGTTGGAATTAGGGTTAGTGTTGGAGCTAGTGTTAGGGTTGGGCTTGGAGCTAGGATTTTTCTGAGTGCAATGAACCAACTCCCAAGTCTCTAGGACGTTCCTAAAAAAATTTGATTTTTTCCCATAGGAATGCATGGGTTAGGGTTAGGGTTAGGGTTGGAGCTAGGGTTAGGGTTAGGGTTAGGGTTGGAGTTAGGGTTAGTGTTGGAGCTAGGGTTAGGGTTGGGCTTGGAGCTAGGATTTTTCTGAGTGCAATGAACCAACTCCCGAGTCTCTAGGACGTTCCTAAAATAATTTGATTTTTTTCCATAGGAATGCATGAGTTAGGGTTAGGGTTAGGGTTGGAGCTAGGGTTAGGGTTAGGGTTAGGGTTGGAGTTAGGGTTAGTGTTGGAGCTAGAGTTAGGGTTGGGCTAGGAGCTAGGATTTTTCTGAGTGCACTGAACCAACTCCCGAGTCTCTAGGATGTTCCTAAAAAAATTTGATTTTTTCCCATAGGAATGCATGGGTTAGGGTTAGGGTTAGGGTTGGAGCTAGGGTTAGGGTTAGGGTTAGGGTTGGAATTAGGGTTAGTGTTGGAGCTAGTGTTAGGGTTGGGCTTGGAGCTAGGATTTTTCTGAGTGCAATGAACCAACTCCCGAGTCTCTAGGACGTTCCTTAAAAAAATTTGATTTTTTCCCATATTAATGCATGGGTTAGGGTTAGGGTTAGGGTTGGAGCTAGGGTTAGGGTTAGGGTTAGGGTTGGAGTTAGGGTTAGTGTTGGAGCTAGGGTTAGGGTTGGGCTTGGAGCTAGGATTTTTCTGAGTGCAATGAACAAACTCCCGAGTCTCTAGGACGTTCCTAAAAAAATTTGATTTTTTCCCATAGGAATGCATGGGTTAGGGTTAGGGTTAGGGTTGGAGCTAGGGTTAGGGTTAGGGTTAGGGTTGGAATTAGGGTTAGTGTTGGAGCTAGTGTTAGGGTTGGGCTTGGAGCTAGGATTTTTCTGAGTGCAATGAACCAACTCCCAAGTCTCTAGGACGTTCCTAAAAAAATTTGATTTTTTCCCATAGGAATGCATGGGTTAGGGTTAGGGTTAGGGTTGGAGCTAGGGTTAGGGTTAGGGTTAGGGTTGGAGTTAGGGTTAGTGTTGGAGCTAGGGTTAGGGTTGGGCTTGGAGCTAGGATTTTTCTGAGTGCAATGAACCAACTCCCGAGTCTCTAGGACGTTCCTAAAATAATTTGATTTTTTTCCATAGGAATGCATGAGTTAGGGTTAGGGTTAGGGTTGGAGCTAGGGTTAGGGTTAGGGTTAGGGTTGGAGTTAGGGTTAGTGTTGGAGCTAGAGTTAGGGTTGGGCTAGGAGCTAGGATTTTTCTGAGTGCACTGAACCAACTCCCGAGTCTCTAGGATGTTCCTAAAAAAATTTGATTTTTTCCCATAGGAATGCATGGGTTAGGGTTAGGGTTAGGGTTGGAGCTAGGGTTAGGGTTAGGGTTAGGGTTGGAATTAGGGTTAGTGTTGGAGCTAGGGTTAGGGTTGGGCTTGGAGCTAGGATTTTTCTGAGTGCAATGAACCAACTCCCGAGTCTCTAGGACGTTCCTTAAAAAAATTTGATTTTTTCCCATATTAATGCATGGGTTAGGGTTAGGGTTAGGGTTGGAGCTAGGGTTAGGGTTAGGGTTAGGGTTGGAGTTAGGGTTAGTGTTGGAGCTAGGGTTAGGGTTGGGCTTGGAGCTAGGATTTTTCTGAGTGCAATGAACCAACTCCCGAGTCTCTAGGACGTTCCTAAAAAAATTTGATTTTTTCCCATAGGAATGCATGGGTTAGGGTTAGGGTTAGGGTTGGAGCTAGGGTTAGGGTTAGGGTTAGGGTTAGGGTTGGAGTTAGGGTTAGTGTTGGAGCTAGGGTTAGGGTTGGGCTTGGAGCTAGGATTTTTCTGAGTGCAATGAACCAACTCCCGAGTCTCTAGGACGTTCCTAAAAAAATTTGATTTTTTCCCATAGGAATGCATGGGTTAGGGTTAGGGTTAGGGTTGGAGCTAGGGTTAGGGTTAGGGTTAGGGTTGGAGTTAGGGTTAGTGTTGGAGCTAGGGTTAGGCTTGGAGCTAGGATTTTTCTGAGTGCACTGAACCAACTCCCGAGTCTCTAGGACGTTCCTAAAAAAATTTGATTTTTTCCCATAGTAATGCATGGGTTAGGGTTAGGGTTAGGGTTGGAGCTAGGGTTAGGGTTAGGGTTAGGGTTGGAGTTAGGGTTAGTGTTGGAGCTAGGGTTAGGGTTGGGCTTGGAGCTAGGATTTTTCTGAGTGCAATGAACCAACTCCCGAGTCTCTAGGACGTTCCTAAAAAAATTTGATTTTTTCCCATAGGAATGCATGGGTTAGGGTTAGGGTTAGGGTTTGAGCTAGGGTTAGGGTTAGGGTTAGGGTTGGAGTTAGGGTTAGTGTTGGAGCTAGGGTTAGGGTTGGGCTTGGAGCTAGGATTTTTCTGAGTGCACTGAACCAACTCCCGAGTCTCTAGGACGTTCCTAAAAAAATTTGATTTTTTCCCATAGGAATGCATGGGTTAGGGTTAGGGTTAGGGTTAGGGTTTGAGCCAGGGTTAGGGTTGGAGTTAGGGTTAGTGTTGGAGCTAGGGTTAGGGTTGGGCTTGGAGCTAGGATTTTTCTGAGTGCAATGAACCAACTCCCGAGTCTCTAGGACGTTCCTAAAAAAATTTGATTTTTTCCCATAGGAATGCATGGGTTAGGGTTAGGGTTAGGGTTGGAGCTAGGGTTAGGGTTAGGGTTAGGGTTGGAGTTAGGGTTAGTGTTGGAGCTAGGGTTAGGGTTGGGCTTGGAGCTAGGATTTTTCTGAGTGCAATGAACCAACTCCCGAGTCTCTAGGACGTTCCTAAAAAAATTTGATTTTTTCCCATAGTAATGCATGGGTTAGGGTTAGGGTTAGGGTTGGAGCTAGGGTTAGGGTTAGGGTTAGGGTTGGAGTTAGGGTTAGTGTTGGAGCTAGGGTTAGGGTTGGGCTTGGAGCTAGGATTTTTCTGAGTGCAATGAACCAACTCCCGAGTCTCTAGGACGTTCCTAAAAAAAGTTTAATTTTTTCCCATAGGAATGCATGGGTTAGGGTTAGGGTTAGTGTCGGAGCTAGGGTTAGGGTTAGGGTTAGGGTTGGAGTTAGGGTTAGTGTTGGAGCTAGGGTTAGGGTTGGGCTTGGAGCTAGGATTTTTCTGAGTGCAATGAACAAACTCCCGAGTCTCTAGGACGTTCCTAAAAAAATTTGATTTTTTCCCATAGGAATGCATGGGTTAGGGTTAGGGTTAGGGTTGGAGCTAGGGTTAGGGTTAGGGTTAGGGTTGGAATTAGGGTTAGTGTTGGAGCTAGGGTTAGGGTTGGGCTTGGAGCTAGGATTTTTCTGAGTGCAATGAACCAACTCCCAAGTCTCTAGGACGTTCCTAAAAAAATTTGATTTTTTCCCATAGGAATGCATGGGTTAGGGTTAGGGTTAGGGTTGGAGCTAGGGTTAGGGTTAGGGTTAGGGTTGGAGTTAGGGTTAGTGTTGGAGCTAGGGTTAGGGTTGGGCTTGGAGCTAGGATTTTTCTGAGTGCAATGAACCAACTCCCGAGTCTCTAGGACGTTCCTAAAATAATTTGATTTTTTTCCATAGGAATGCATGAGTTAGGGTTAGGGTTAGGGTTGGAGCTAGGGTTAGGGTTAGGGTTAGGGTTGGAGTTAGGGTTAGTGTTGGAGCTAGGGTTAGGGTTGGGCTTGGAGCTAGGATTTTTCTGAGTGCACTGAACCAACTCCCGAGTCTCTAGGACGTTCCTAAAAAAATTGGATTTTTTCCCATAGGAATGCATGGGTTAGGGTTGGAGCTAGGGTTAGGGTTAGGGTTAGGGTTGGAGTTAGGGTTAGTGTTGGAGCTAGGGTTAGGGTTGGGCTTGGAGCTAGGATTTTTCTGAGTGCAATGAACCAACTCCTGAGTCTCTAGGACGTTCCTAAAAAAATTTGATTTTTTCCCATAGGAATGCATGGGTTAGGGTTAGGGTTAGGGTTGGAGCTAGGGTTAGGGTTAGGGTTAGGGTTGGAGCTAGGGTTAGGGTTGGAGCTAGGGTTAGGGTTGGGGTTGGAGCTAGGATTTTTCTGAGTCCAATGAACCAACTCCCGAGTCTCTAGGACGTTCCTCAAAAAAGTTTTTATGCCCACAGTGCCATAACTACCATAAAACTGGTTTGTTGATCATGGTATTGCTATGCATGATTGGCCAGGCAACTAGCCTGACCTGAAATCCTTAGAGAATCTGTGAGGTATTGTCATGAGATAGATCCAACAATACAGAACCAGAACCGACAATACAGACCAACTGAAAGAGGTATCAAAGTGAGTTGGGCTTCTACTACACCCCTGCAGAGCCATAGACTGATCATCTCTGTGGGACATCCATAAACTGTATATAGAATGGACTATAGCGTCTGCCTCCTTGCTGGGTGAAGCCACCCCGAGAACAGCACCCTCTGTTGATGGGCTGCAGTATAGGTCATAAATCCCGCCTCCGCCAGCAAAGCTTAAGTGGATATGTGGATATACTTTAGAAATTTATTACACAGAACATACATTTTTCTCCCCCCTGCTTGCAATGTTGACATGTAGTTACAGTAAGACTGGTTTGTGCTCAAGTCCTCTTTTTTCTGTGAAGCTCCGTTTTTAAAAGTTATTAGGGGATTCATGTTTTCTTTGATTGACACCTGATACAGCCTATGGGCGTTCAGGGATTGCGTAGCTCACACGGGGGATGCGCTGTTTGAGCCAAGCGTCATCACAGCGACACTCGGCGACTCTCATGCTGAATGCGCTCAACGCTACTGCGCAATGCTGGTTTCAGGAAATGAAGAAAAATCGTGGAAATACTGAGAGCTTTTTGGCTTCAAATCCGTATACAGGCGGGAGGCGGGGCCAAGTTGTCCATATTATATACAGTCTATGGGGACGTCACATTGATGCTGTAATTCATGCAAAAGGAACCTTGACCAAGTACTGAGAACATAAAGAAACATCATTTTCTAAGGTCAGCATTTCTCAAATGCAGCACTTACTGGAATGTCATCCCTCTCTCCTCTAGATCCTTGCTCATGTTGTACCTACTCTCAGATGTATGTTTCCTTGGACATATGTGTCTCTTATGAAATTGTAAAGATATTGATCATAATTGAGATTTGCATACAGCATCCATTTTGAATGTATTTGTTTCTGTCCTTTTTGTAGCCTCTTTTGATGAAATCCTTTTATGCCACTTTGTTTATGTGTTTGTGCTGGCACAATATGCTGGCACAAAATAGAAGAACAAAAGCCAACAACACACACAATGCCTTCTGTTGCGCTACAGTGGATTTATTACAGTGTTCACACACACTCAAAGAATGATCTGGACTCATATAATCAACAATGAGACAGTTAATCCTCAGGAGAAATACCAATGTTATAATTCATTACAGCTGAAATAAGAGCACTAACAAGGCTTATGTATGTTTTTTTTTAGCTGGAGGTTGAGAAGCTGAGAAAATGCAGCTTTGTTGTTATTGTTGGACCATCCTCTGGTATATAGAGACCAACAAAAGATTCCTGGAAATTCATCCTTTTTTTCTGGGTTAACCTTTTTTTTCATCCTTTTCATCAAAAATATGAGATTGACCTCCTTATTGTCCGTGAAGGATATTCCCAATCAACATAAATGGATTAAAATTGCATTCATACCCCTCTTATCTATTTGCCTTTGGTTTAGTTATATTCATGGCCCCCCTTGCCAATTTCCAGTGTCACCTCAGCACTCAGAGAACTGTAACTGGGCTGTCGCTTAAAATCAGCTGCAGGGATGAAATTCCATTTTCCCCCCCTAACTACTGGAGCTCCTGCATTCTGAGCGGGATAATGAAAATCCACTTATAGAGTAAACCTTAACGTGTGCGGAGAAAAGGAAGCTCACCCCATCATTTAGTTGTTTGCAAATTCTCCATGATGGGAGGAATAATAAAACCCTATCTCAGTCCAAGAGGCATAACATGAATGTTAAGGTGCACACATGGGCACTTCACATTCACATTTAGATCCAGGGGATTTTGGACTATGTTAAAGAGAGGCAGGCGTGATTTGCAGCTCATCAGAAACCCTGCATGCACTACAGCCGAGAGGATATCTCACAGCGCAAAGTGTCTCTAGCTTTCTGAGGGCTGTAACTGGATTTCACAATGGCAATCTAATAGAAAATGACAAGACAGAGGTAATGAAAGCAATCATCTATCAAATATTTGTGCAATCCTGCCCTCAAAGTTATCTTTCGAGACCAATTTTTTTCTTGCTCGGCACAACATCTCCCTCATTCATGTCTGGTGATGACAAACTTAGCACTTTGGGAATTATAAGCCTTTGGAGAATATTCCACACTCTGCAATTCTGTCACTTTTGCTTACTGGGGAAAGACAGGAGAGCAATAGATAAAGAATATTTGGCTATATATCCCTTTATTGCTAGTTTGCTCCAAAGCTATAGGTGAAGTCACTTAAGTCTATAACACTCCCATAGACTGCAGCTTACTTTTGCGGCTCAAGGAAGAATATTTATGATTATTACTTCATGGAAATGCAATCGGAGTTCTACCGTATCTTGTATGTGCACTGCAGTCGCTGTAGTCCCCCCCACCCCCCACCCACCCAGACATCAAAAAAGGTTACCTTCAGCTCAAAATAAGGTTCAGATGGTAGAAAGTAAAGTTGAAAAGGTAAGATAAATGAAGATAAAGTTCATTTCAATTAAATCCCCGGAGGAAATAAGTTAAACTTAACTAGAGAGTGTTGCAATGAACAAGTTAAAATACAGTGGTGGCCAAAATTATTAGAACACCTGACAGAAATGAAAACATTGAACTTTTTTTTGCCTCCAAAACATGATTTCCTTTCAAAATGTTCATGATGCATGCAGATGGTTGCTCTGAGCACAACAAATATCAGATTAAGTGAGTCCTACTGTTTTTATCCACTTTTAACTTTAATATTTGGTATGTCCACCTTTTGCAGCAATTACAGCAGCACATCTCTCTGGCATAGTGTCAATATATTTCTTGAGAACTTGAACACTAATATTATCCCATGCCTTCTGCAACTCAAGCCAAAGGCTTTCCTTTGAATGTACAATAGATCTGTCCAGTTTATTTTCCAACTCGCCCCAAATTTGCTCAATGGGGTTGAGGTCCGGACTTTGAGGGGGCCAGTCCATCATTTTCAATGTTCCAGCAGATTCCTTCTGTCGCAGGTAGTTCCGGCAATACTTAGAAGAATGTTTAGGGTCGTTGTCCTCTTGGAAAATAAATCCAGGCCCAATAAGACGACTCCCAGATGGTACTCCGTGCCTCACCAGAATGTTGTGGTATACTTTCTTATCCATGATGCCATCAATTTTCACTAAGTCACCTGTTCCTGAGGCTGCAATGGCACCCCACACCATAATACTACCCCCTCCGTGTTTAACTGTTGGCAAGAGACACTCATTTTTATATCTCTCCCCCTCCCTCCGTCGAACATACACTCTTCGCTTGTTGCCAAACTGTTCAAATTTGGACTCATCAGTCCACAACACTTTATACCAATCTCCCTTTGTCCATTTCTTGTGTTCTTTAGCGAATTTCAGGCGTTTCACTCTATTTTTCTCTCTCAGTAATGGTTTCTTTGCTGCTATTCTGCCAACAAGTCCTTCTTCTCCCAGTTTCCGACGCACAGTTCTTGAAGACACTGTTGCACCATTAGTCATTGTGGTGTTGATCTCGTCACGCAGTTCTCGTGAGGTCTTTCTTCGGTCCTTAAGACTGAGAATTTTGAGATGCTTCACTTGTCTGTCAGAAAGTTTCTTTTTTCTACCTCTCCCCTTTCGGTTCTGGTGTGAATTGGTGGCATCATGGCGGTCTAAAGTGTACTTTACAGTGCTTGGACTGCATCTCAAGTCCTTGGCTATGCGGCGGTAACTCCAGCCAGCATCAAAAAGGGCCTTTATTCGAACCCGCTGCTCACTCGTTAATTCCTTCTTCACCTTAGCCATGTTCAAAGAGCAACATGAGCTTCAAGACTACTTCTAGAGGCTTTGAATTTATACCAATTGGTGGTGTGGCCTCAGTGACAAAACCCTCATGTTACCAATCACTTAATGAGCAGGATAGGCCTTGTACGTTCAAAAGAATCACACAGCTGTGTCCTAAGACTTGCATCACCATCAATTTAACCACGATCACACCTGAGAAGGATTACACAAGTAATTTGGCTGCTTCTGTGAAGGAACATGATTGTGTGACACTGACAGGCCTTGCTTGTTTTTTGTATGGAAAATGACCTAAATCTCCTTATGATGGCTCTATTCTAGGGTTTATAGAGCAAAATGATGACTTTGTAGATATTTAATTTGTTTTATGGGTATTTTAATGGCCAACTCAACAAAAACAACTGAAAATTCTTAAATATGCCAAGTGTTCTAATAATTTTGGCCACCACTGTACATTAAAAAAATATATATATGAAATTCTTAAAAAACTGTTTCCAACAGTTCACTTTATTCAGCCTTGAGATACATGACTTTCTTAACTTTTCACTCTGATAAATGGAGCACAAATTAAAAAGCCTCTTTCAAAAATCACTCTCCAACTTTGTGCCTGAGCTTCAAAGGCTTCTGCCTGAATGTGCTTTTTGTGCCTGATGTTTATTAGAGTCTAATGTACTGGTGACATCCTCTGTACATGACATTTCACTGACCCTCCAGGCACTTCATTGGATAAGAGGCTCTTGTCTGGAAAGCTTTTCATATTAAAGGTTTTGAAAAGGCTGTGTGTCATCCACTCAGAAAATTATGTTTGATTTCTTGACACATCTGAACCCATCTCTTTCAGTTTAAAAGATGAATCCTCACTTTTTAAACCCACAGAGTTTTTGTCATTTTTTAACAGAAGCCACTCAACCATAAAAGCTCTGCTATATTTACTTCTCAGCTCATATTATTATTATTCAGTATGACAGCTGGAGATTAAAGTGGTGTCACTTCATTAAAAAAAGGAGAAAAATGTACCTAAGATCTCTTCATAAAGTTGAAATTCAATACCATTAACTCTGTTGTCAAACAACTTCAGTTTACTTTTCTTTTTGCTTTAAAATGGCCTCAGTAAAACTTCTACGGAAGAAGTCTAAACATGATCATATCTTTTCAACAATGAGCCTCTTTCTGTTAATTAGATATACATGTTATTTGAAACATTTCAGGATATTATTTGAACTAATAGCCTGGACTCAAAGTGGGTCACTAAATATTGAGATGGCTGAAACTAAAGTTTAATCAAAGATCAGTACTGCGGCTACATAAGAGGTTATCAGGAACATGTTATTATCAGTTAACCTTGATTTATCTATAAAATATCTCTATGAACGATCAAAAAAGTGTCAAAAGTGTCCAACCCTATACTTTTAACATAGAAGGTGATAAGATGTGATGTACCAGTACATGCAGAAAAAATCAGGTGCAGCAGCAACAAGCTGAACAGAGAGTGGGAATGACCTATGAGAAAATCTCTCACTTTTTCAGAGGACGGGTACACACTACACACTTATTTTACAGCACATGGTTATCCACATTCACTATCTATCTATCTATCTATCTATCTATCTATCTATCTATCTATCTATCTATCTATCTATCTTTTATATTTTAATGGGTGCCATTTACATTTTATGTGGAAGCCTAAACATCTCACACCTTCCACTGCCTTTTTAGAAGTGCCCATCAAGGGTTTCTGTGATGCAGCGTTCTCACTTTTTATGGGCTTAAACAGAATACATCATCTTCCCACTTCCTCCCCCAGTTAGTTTTTGAACCACAGACTTGGAGCTCTAGTGGAAAAGAAAAGAAAAAAACAAAAAGAGAATTGTTACTTTTAAAGTTTGTTTTATTCTTGCAGATATTTTATAGTATAGTTGATTGAACTGTTTCAGTTTTTGTCTTTTCTCTGTCAACCCCCTGTAAGATCTTTTCATGGAGGGACATTTTTGGATTCTGAGCTTTGCAAGTAATGAGTTTTCTCTTTAACTTCTTTCTTTTCTTCTGTAGTCATTTAAGAGTCAAAAGTCTTAACTCATTTGGGATTGTGCTTGCAGTTGCTGATGAGTACTACCATGTGAGTCCAGGTTCGTTGTAGCCTCTTAGCATCAATTCTGCCTCTTTCTGGACATTCTTTGAAACACTGAAGATTGATTCATTCATTGAACAAAATGGTGCACTCTTCAGAGCTGTCCATGTCTGTCTGATTCAAAATGACATTACCGTCTAACCTTGTTGTCTAGTTATCAGCCTCTGGACTGCATTGTTGGTCAGGGTTACTCACTGGAGCTGCCCTGCTCCCCTCAGTGCCACCTGATCCTCACAGTGGACATTTGGGAAATAACATGCTTGTGTGAGTGTAATTTGAGAGGAGCGTTCCCTGCATCCTGTTACTCGTAACCCTGTAAGACTGCAGGATGAAGAGATGAAATGACAATCCAGACAGCGTACTGGAGATCTACCTGCTCTTTTCTAACCTGTGGCCTACTTTTTAGGGGGAAAGAGAGAAAGGTGTCCGCTGGTTGGACTGCTTTCATGACTTGGACATGAGGGAGAAACTTCAAAGCTAGGGAGCAGAGTGTTGCACATGGTTACATCATGAATGTGGTTGTAAATAAATTTTGGGAAAAAAAAAACCTACATGCAATTTTACCTCTCCAGCCCTTTGATGAAACTGAAGGGGTGGGCAGCTGAATATCTGAACACGTGATCTTTGTAAATGAAAGGTCTCTATGATTATGGAATCTTTATGCTAGAGTGGGTGACATCATCGGCTAGAGTGAGAGAAGTTGCATGAAATTGTCTGAAACTTTTCTCTTTCTACGCTCCTCCCAGCCACAAATTACACTCTACATGCATGGTTTTTCCCACATATGTAGACAAACTTGTTCTGTTTCTAAGGATGTGTTTATATAAGCAGAGAAACTTACAGAATTTGAAAAGTGGGCCTCCAAATATGACAATGTCTTTATCTGCTCCTCCTTGACGCAGGCCCACGGCTGAGACCAGTTCACTAATCAGGGACTGCTCTGATATCTCAGCATCATTAAATCACTTTTAGAGCAATTTGATTAACGATTAAATGCTGACTCTCAATCAACATCCTTATTAAGGCCACGGCGCAGACACACCAAGGCACTGGCCCCTACATAATACTTGAAAGGAATGTTTGCTGTAGGTTCACTCCTTGTACTGTATATAATATCACATTGCTACTAGTAATAATAATTTTAAATCTCATCATAATGTACACCCCCAGGCAGGACCCTTGTGGACCTTTCAAAATTTCCCAGAGGGAATTTTCTAGTTTCTCTTTTAGTGTTTTCTCAAATTAGTGTACATTAAATCTCACTTGCTGCAAGAAACTCCAAAATAGAATTACACAGTGGCTGGATGGTAATCGGCATCTTGCAATATGCTGATCACAAATCCATCACATTCACCAAACAGCTGAGTCATCATACTCCACAAACTCTGCTGTTCAAAAGTCATCCTCATCAAATTACAGAAAAGCAGCAGTAAACAGTCTTTATGACAGAGCCCACATGAAAAAGAGCAACATCAGCTGTAGAGAAAGTAGTAAAACTTAAATGTTTTTCAACCGCTCCCAAAAGCAAGAAAGCAATCTAGAGTTTCTATGAGATACGTGTGCCCAAGAATTCGCCCTGACACAAACCCAGCCAGCTGTGAAATGTCCTGACTGACTGACTGAAAACATAAACCACATGGCGCTTAGAGATGAAGTCACTGTGACATGATCACCAATCTGTCAGTATGAGCAGCGACTGTAAACAGCAGAGGCTTCATGTGGGGAGTTTGGAGCTGCTGAAGGTTAATGGGTTGGTGGGGATGATTCTTTTGGGTCACACAGGGCTGGGTGATACGGGAAAAAATGGGCTCCTTGCTCCGCTCGGAGTTTGTAACCTTTTGCATTCCACGTGCTCTGCTGCGTGGCACTGCTTCAAGAGGCGAAAAAGATTTGAGGTATTCCCAAACTTTGCAAGAATATGTACTCAACATAATTTGAAGTGTACATCACTCTGCTTCATGTCCGACCTCAAAAAAAACAAAATACTTCCACACCACCAACGTTTTCATGCCGGTGTTGCTGAGATGTCGTCATCTGTTGAGCCTTCATCTGCATTTCTGCTGGGGGTAGCACTCATTTTCTTTATTTTCACCGACAGTGCTGTCAGCTTCACGTGTTAAAGTGTTATGGTTGCGTGTAGCTGCAGCCTGCTACTACACAGTTGTTTGCTACTTGGTTTTAATTCAGCGCATGATTGTCGCAGCGTGACGCAGAGCCCTTTATGCCCAACTTGGTCTTCCCTTCTCTTTCAGCTATTTGTCCTATTTCTACTGTGGTTTTGTGATTTCTGTCACTTGGCTTTTCATCTGGACGTATGTAAACCCTTGTGATTCCTTTTCTTTTCCTTGTTTGCATCCCAGGGTGAAGGCAGGCTCCACAGCCATAATCACAATTAAACTGCTTAAAATTCTGTAGTAGTGGCCTTGCTACTGCATCACACACACAGCAAAACGTGTGCATTTTATGCGTCTCGTGGACTGATCACAAGGATGCTGCCACTTAAAACCAGCTTGACAAAGACTGGCACACTCCTCAACAAATTGTTTAAAGCAAGACATACTGTACCTGGCTTTTAGGCTCCAAGCCACAAAGCACATAAAAGTTTATGTTTATTTCTACTCTCAGGTGTTATCTTATTAACACAACATAATATTGTCCGAACACTAAATTTGGAGGACTGAGAAACTGATACACCATCACAATTGAATGCGAGGGACAGAAAATCCTTTTTACTGTTATTTTTCAAGGTCTGATATAAGGTGCCATCCCATATGTCCATTGTTACATGCTTTGTATTGCCATCAGCACAAAAACACAGATCTTGCGTATCCTGGTGCTCAAGAATATCTTTCAGCTGACCTTCAATGGTATGCTAATAAAGAAATGTCCTTCCTGTAAACTGGCTTTCATTGTTATGAATGAAGAACATGACACACATTTGAGTGTATTCTCCAGAGATTGTAAAGAACCAATGTCCTTAGCACGAACGCCACAGTAATAGTGTTGATCGAACAGATGTGTGATATCAGCTAATGGTTTCTCCAGAAAATACATGCTTGTTGGAAATGCACTAGTCCGGCAGGTCAGCAAGTCTTCCATAAATACACCTGTTGTGTTGTGTCACGTTACAAAGGAGAGAATCAAGATGATGCTTTGCCCTTCTATTAGTCCATGGGAGGAGTGGACGTCATCTACTTCTTGAGGGACATTGCCCTAAATGATAGAAAAAGAAGCACTGCAATGAAACTGATCAGGTTTAATTTGTTTTGCCCAATTTAGTGAATGATGATGGCACACAGAAGCAGACTGCATTTTTGGTTTCATAAATACAACACACTTACCTTTTCATAAAGGTAAAAACAAACAAAAACGATATATGCATTGTTATCTTCATTTTAGATGTCAAAGGGGTTTTGGAGCTCCCTGT